TTAGGAAGCGGCGGTTGGGGGCCCTAAATTGGAATAAGCAGGGACCTAATGTCCTCCCCCCTGGCCCCCACCCCTGAGCGGTGGGTGGGGGCCCTAAATACAAATAAGGGGGGACCTAATGTCCTCCCCCCCTGGCCTCCACCCTTGAGCGGTGGGTGGGGGCCCTAAATTGGAATAAGGGGGGGACCTAATGTCCTCCTCCTGGCCCCCACCCCTGAGCGGTGGGTGGGGGCCCTAAATACAAATAGGGGGGGGACCTAATGGCCCCCACCACTGAGCGTTTTTTTTTTTAATTGCGTCGGTTATTATGGATTTTTTATCTGACCTTTTTTGGGGAAAGATTTTAGAAGAAAGAAAACATCGAATGGTAAGTTTTATTTTATTTACAGGTACTTAGTTAAAGGTCTCCCCCTCATTATTTTTAGGGTGGAGGGGTAGGTAGGGGGTTAATTTTTTTGGGGGGAGGGGGTGACTAGGGGTTTGGGAACCCCTAGTCACCTGGGGAGTTAACATTTTTTTTAGGGCCCCCACCCACCGCTCAGGGGTGGGGGCCGGGGGGGAGGACAATAGATCCCCTCTCCCTATTGGTATTTAGTGCCCCCACCCGCCGCTCAGGGGTGGGGGCCAGGGGGGAGGACATTAGGTTCCCCCCTTATTAGTATTTAGGGCTCCCACCCACCGCTCAGGGGTGGGGGCCAGGAGGGAGGATATTAGGTCCAGCCCCTTATTCCAATTTAGGTCCCCCACCCGCCACTCAGGGGTGGGGGCCAGGCGGGAGGACGTTAGGTCCCCACCCTTATTTTACTGTAGGGCCCCGACCCCTAGTTTGGGGCTAGGGGGGAGGACGCTATTTTTTTTTTAACCTATGGCTGCTCACTGTTTAATAGTATTAGTATTAGTAAATTTGGCTGAAAGACTAATTTAGGTCTTTCAGCCTTTGGTTAGATAACTCCCTAATACCATGGGAATTAGGTGGTTATCTACTAAGCGGCTGCAAAAGAAGTCCCGAAGTGCCGAACTCCCGAACTTCCGAAATGCCGAAGTTCCGAAATTCCAAAGTTCCGAAGTGTTGAAGTGCCGAAGTTGCCGAATATTCGAAGTGCCGAAGTTCCGAAGTTGCCGAAGTTCCGAAGTCTTGAAGTGCCGAATTGCCGAAGTCCCAACTTGCAAAAGTCCCGACTTTCGGAATGCAGAACAGAACCGCAAATTTTCCCCATGCACATGCCTAGTGACAAGGTGAGTAAAGCGGTACCAGTGGCAGGGAGAGTGTGACAGGGCGAAGGGGGTAAATGGACAGGGTGGGAGGGGGGGTGTAAGAGAGAATGAGGGACAGGGAGTATGACATGGTTTGATGTGGGAGTATGACAGGGCGAGTGGAGGTAAGTGTGTCAGGGCAATTGTGGCACGGTAGGAGGGACGAGTGTGACAGGATTAAGGAGGGTTAGAGTGAGTCTGGCAGAGTGAGGGCAGGTGAGTTTGGAGGGGGTGAGATTAACAGGATTAGGAGTGGTAAATGTGAGTGTGGATGCATGAAGAGGCTGACAGTGTGGGGGGAGTGATGACAGTGTAGGTAGGGGTGACAATGTGTGGGGAGGTGACAGTGTGAGGGGATGCTAACAGTGTGTCTGGGGAGGATGTGTATGTGTGGGGGTGATACTGTGTGTGTGAGAGGGTGATGGTGTGAGGGAGGGTGATGGTGTGACAGAGGGAGGGAGGTGATGATGAGAGGGAGGGGGGTGATGGTGCGGGGGTGGTGGTGAGGGGGGCGATGGTGAGGTGGGATGATGGTGAGAGGGGGGTGATGGTGTGGCAGGATGATGGTGAGAGTGAGTGATGTGAGAGGGAGGAGGTATGATGGTAAGAGGGGGTGATGTGAGAGGGAGGGGAGTCTGATGGGGAGACTACATACCTTTATTTATTTCCTGGTGGTAAGGTGGGCTCCCTGGTGGTCCGGTGGCCATTACTTCGCTGCAGACCATGTATCTCGCGAGACCCGTCTGATCGTTACCGCGGTAACCGGCGGCAACGCTCTGATTGGCCAGTTCTCGCGAGACACATAGTCTGCAGGATTATTGAGCAAGCCGCCGGGCCCCCTCCTGGTGTCGGTCCTTGGTCACTGACCGAGGACCCGACACAGTCTGCCCTTAGGCGATTTAGGCAGCCGCGAGCACCCAGCCAGCGCGAGGCCTTAGGCGGCCACCACCTAATTAGAGAGCCGCCTCTACTGACCTATACACACACACATAGACTGACCCCCCACACACACACTGACACCCTCCCACATACACAGAGACTGACCCATACGCACTGACTCACACACACACACAGACTGAACCACACACACTGACTCACACTTACCAACAGCTGCCTGGATTCCTCTGTGCAGAGCTGAGCTGCCTCTCCCTGTCTCTCCCCTGCACAGTGCCCCCTCTGGCCACTGGTGGGAAAAGAGTGGAACATAGTTCCACAGTGACAGTGCTGCTGCAGCTTTTAAAGGTAGACTCAGTGCTCCCGACTTCAATTTCAATTGGGGGTCACAAGGGGGAGTACTTCATGATGTAGGGGGGCCATCGCCTCCTCTGGCTCCCCCTAGTGAGGCCACTGGTGAAGGGCCCTGCTCAATGAGCTTATACATGGGTGTCCGCAGGGGGAGGGGGGGAAAGGGTGGGGCACATGTCCCCCCTGGAATTTTCAGCTTGTGCTGATATTTTTCTTTTCAGATTTAGACTACACTGCAATACCGCCGCTGGCTGTTTGTGGAGAGAGGCAGGAATGGGAAAGTACATCTTATCCCTGCTTCTCTCTCCTGACTGAAACTGCAGGGGAGCAGCACAGAGTCAGCCAGCAACTCCCAGACTGCAGACACCCTACAGATCAGGTAAGTGAGTGTTGTGGGGGCAGCCTACAGATCCGGTAAGTGAGAGATGGGAGGCAGCCTACAGATCAGGTAAGTGAGGCATGGTGGGGAGACAGCCTACAGATCAGGTAAGTGAGGGATGGGGGGGCAGCCTAGAGAACAGGTAAGTGAGTGATGGGGGGCAGCCTATAGATCAGGTAACTGAGGCATGGGGGGCAGCCTATAGATCAGGTGAGTGAGGCATAGGGAGCAGCCTACACATCAGGTAATTGAGGCATGGGGAGACAGCCTACAGATCAGGTAAGTGAGGCATGGGGGGGCAGCCTACAGATCAGGTAAGTGAGGGGTGGGAGCAGCCTAAGATCAGGTAAGTGAGGGATGGAGGGCAGACTACAGAACAGGTAAGTGAGGATTAGGGGGCAGCCTACAGGAAGGGTCAGCAAGGAGCAGGAAGGGACAGCAAGAAGCAGGAAGGGTCAGCAAGAAGCAGGAAGGGTATGCAAGGAGCAGGAAGGGTCTGCAAGGAGCAGGAAGAGGCAGCAAGGAGCAGAAAGGGGCAGCAAGGAGCAGGAAGGGTCAGCAAGGAGAAGTAAGGTTCTGCAAGGAGCAGAAAGGAAAGAGTCAGCAAAGGTCATGGAGGGACAGAAAGAGCACAAAGGTAAAAGAGCAGAAAGAAATCAGATGGAGCACAAAGGTAATGTAGGAGAAGAAGCAGAAAGGACCAGCAAGGTGCTGGAGAGGGGCAGCAAGGAGCTAGAAGGGGCAGAAGGAGCACAAAGGAGCGGATTTTTTGTAGGAGTGGAGACTGGGTAAGCGTCTAACGGAAAATGAAAGAGAGTTCCACAGGAACGGTGCAGCCCTATAGAAGTCTTGAAGGCGAGCATCAGAGGTGGGAGTGCGAACAGAGGATCGATGCAGGTCTTCATCAGAGCGTAGGGGCCTTACAGCTGCAGTGTTCAAAATTAAAAGGCCTTGTAGTAGGGATGAATGATGATTTGGGACTTACAGCTGCAGTGTTCAAAATTAAAAGGCCTTGTAGCAGGCATGGATGGTGATTTGGGACTTACAGCTGCAGTGTTTAAAATGAAAAGGCCTCTTTCTCTCTGATAATTGCACGCCAAGTTATCGCTGATCCTCTGTTTAATTTCTTTTTGGCAAGTTGCAGATGTTCGGGATTTGGACATGGATCCCTTTGTTTTTTTGACCTATGGGCTTCACCTTTATGTTGTCTCATTGTACTAATTCTTCATTGCATTCCATTTTTCAACAATTGTTTTCTGATGAACCTAAACTTCGCATTGTGGGTGCTTGTTTCACTATCTGGTCATGACTGCGCTTTTACAGTCTCCTTCTGTTAGCTAACTTTTGATATCCGATGTGCGTCCTTTTTCTCCTGTCTTGTCAGCTACTTTGGCACGGTTGGATAATTTTGTTGGCGGGCGTTGTTTGCTCATTTTGAGCTTATACAGTTCAGGGCATGGCAGCACTGGTGTTAGGAGTTAGTTTCACTGATATTCTACACTGTATTCGGATTCAACCTTTTGGACTTTTTATTTTCACTCTATTTCTCATACTGCTTTCGATTTACTTTCTAAGAGACAAAAATTCAAATTTGAAGCTTCCTGTCCTGTCTTAAAATTCAAGCATTGGTGTAAAAATAATCTCAATTTTAATAATGACAGGTGGCGAATATTTTTCCTACCTCCCTTTTGTACTTTATGGGACCATTTCCACTTGGTTTCTCTCATTTTTTTTTTTTTTCCTTTGGAGATTGCTTATTTTGTTGATATGTTCTTTTCATTGTACTGATTGTTATTATTTCATAGCTTTTTATGTATATTTATTGGCTTTCATGACCAGCTATTTTTGATAATGGCATAAATATTACTTGTAGATTGGGTATAAGTCTATTTCCGGTTATATTTTTATGATTTCTCTGTTCTTTTTCATAGAGTAATGTGCTCATGGCCTGTATTTCTCTTCCTGTTCCGTTCATTGAAGTTGTTCGGATTTCCATTGTTGTTTAACCTGTTCGTTAGTGATGTCCCGAACGGTTCGCCGAACGGTTCGCCACAAACGGTTCGCCACGAACGGTTTGCCACGGACTCATCATTGAGTAAACTTTGACCCTGTACCTCACATTCAGCAGACACATTCCGGCCAATCAGCAGCAGACCCTCCCTCCCAGACCCTCCCACCTCCTGGACAGCTCACTAAGAATACAGCTTCAAAATGAATGCTGTCCAGGAGGTGAGAGGGTCTGGGAGGGAAGGTCTGCTGCTGATTGGCTGGAATGTGTCTGCTGACTGTGAGGTAAAGGGTCAAAGTTTACTCAATGATGAGTCCGTGGCGAACCGTTCGGGACATCACTACTGTTCGTTTTTTTCCATCGAAGAAAGTGGAAGCCAGTGAGATGGCCTGGTATTGATAAACCTTGAATTATTATTGTTCTTTTGGTTGGTTTATTGTTTGCTGCTATTGGAGATATCAGTAAAGGAAGTATGCAAAATATTCGCCTCCTGTCACTATTAAAATTCTCAATATTTTTGAAATAATCTACAATTGTTTTATTTTCTGGAAAGAAGCTTGTAAGGCTTTAGAAGTTAATTATTTACTTTAGGTTGCTTATCTTCTAGTAAAATAAAGTGTAATAAAATGTTAACATGAACTTTATCCATCCAAAGGTTCAGATATTATCACTGTATGTGTTGCTTTTTTTATTGTGACTGCATATTTCAACTAAGTTTTCTGGGCATGAAAGCATCTGTTACTGCAGAAGAAGGGTTAATGCATGAGTTTTTGTTGGGGACCTTTTACAGGACAAGGTTTCCAAGGAGTTTACAGAAACCAGATAAGAATTATCAGCATTAATTTTTTTATTTTATTTTTTTGTTTACTTAATGTTGCTTGCTTGGTCTAATCTGGGAAGAGTGCCAGGTAAACTTCTTTACCAGCTGAATTGTTTAAGGACAAAGTCAAAATATTTGAAAAAATATTTTTTTTTTCATAGTAAATACATTAGTGGACCTTTTGTGAAAAAGCATGTGTTTGTGTTGTAACATGTGCGTATAATGTTTTAGTCAATGTTCTGTGTGTATAAAGCCCTGCAGTTTAAATATACAGCTGTCATTACCCCCCTTCTCCTGTGTCTGGCTGAAAGACCTTGGGCTATTTATATTTTGGGACACACCTCCTTACTGACAGCAAGCAAGAGCAGCTTGTATATACTTTGAACTTGTATATACTGGTAACGCGTGACATTATATACACGGCAAGTTTGTATAGAAACCCAGGGGTAACACACAGAGTTTGTAACTTTTCACATGCGTGGCATAAACATAGCCAAAGTACTTGAATGTACTATATATATAGTCTCATAGAGACACAAAAACACACAAAAATAGATTAAGAAATTCACTAGTCTTTAGGCATAAAGCCACACCTACTTTACCTGTTCTTATATGTTTATCAACAAACACTTAACATACATATTTCTATACTTATTCACTTGCTGATGTTCCACACGAGGATATGGGGTCGGAAGAAGAACTACTGAAAATTGGAAGAAAGCTGGAGAAGAGAGTAAATGGAGGCAGTACGGTGAGATGATAAGAACCTGTGGGAGTCTGTTTTTTTTTGGGGGGGAGGGGCAAAATTACCAGGTGGTAGCCATGATAAGCAGAGGGGCATTTAAAATTACGGTTGTGCAATGAAAGTAAGAAAGCATCTAGATGGCTAGAGGGGGGGGCGGGGGGTGAATAGATAGTGAGGGTTAAGAAATGAATGCTGTAAAGAATGTATGTAAAGGAAAATGATCAGGAAAGAATTAGTGAGAAGTGTCAAAGAAATAGTTGAAGAATATAAAGAAGCAGTGGAGAAAATTCACTCGCTTTTTTCCCCTAAGGACCATATTTTGGATCTACTAAAGGAACTACAGAGATTTCAGATGACTGTTCCTCTTTTGCGGGTAAGAGCAACTTCTTCCATGATGTATTTTAATTAACAGATAGATGTAAGAGGACAATTGTTTGTGTGAAATGTAACTAAACTGCCCAACGACTCTCTACTTACAGCGCACTAGGATTGGCGTGACTGTGAACAAGCTGAAAAAGAGGAATGATGAGCAGGAAATTGGAGATCTTGCCAAAAACATCATCAAGGCCTGGAAGAAACTGCTCGGTGAGTCCAATTTAGATTGATGTGAGAAGTGTTAAGGAAGAAGAAAATGTTAGCTTTTAAGATCTGAAAACAAAAGTAAAAATCTGGCTTAAGCCCTAAATAGTAACAACTATCCTAGAAAAAGTTAAATGTTTATGCTGTTTGTCCCAAATTTAGTGGTTTGTGTGCATTTAGTCTAGTTCTTAAATAATATAGTGAGAATTTAATATTTGTACTGATGAAATGAAGGATGATTAGCTTGTTAAAATAAAGAGACTCTTAAATATTTATAATTGAACTCTGTCCCAAATATGATATCATTAGATATCATTCTACAAGGAATGACTATATTCTATGTATCCCATATCAATACATTTATGTATGTTAGCTGTATGAATCACAAAGGTATGAAAACAGGAAAGGGAGATGTAAATTAATTTGAAGCAAACAAGAACAAGATCTAGTCATTTCAAGAATCTAAGGCACTGCTAATGTTAGAAGAGAACTAAGTAAACTATCATCCTTAATGTTGCATACATTTTTTTAGTATTTGTACATATATGCACTGAGGATGATGGTAAAGTGGTTAGGTATGGCAAGTGGCAAGTAGGTATATGCACCAGCAGGTAGGGTGGAATTGTATTGATAGGTGTTGGGAATAGTATTGAGTGAAAAAGAATGTACTGGGAAAACATTCATCAAAATGCATATATTACTTTCTCTCTGTGGCATTCTAGACTCCTCATACAAAGAAAAAAGCACCACGACAAACACCCATCTGGAATCTCCACCTCGTGCAGAAATGACCAGGTTGGTGATACTTATAAACCAGTTAATATTGATCCTGGGTCGTAATCTTTTCTTTGTGTCTTGTTGCCCTGTTATAAGACTACCTTTCTTTACCTTATTTTCCATGACAGGCCTCATACATCTCCACAAAACAAGCTGCATCCAGAAAATCCCAGGTATCTTCCCCAAATTTGATCATATGCCAACAGCAATCTTATGGAAGGCTTAGCATGGACAGACTGTGGTCAGTATATCAGTACCACAGTTAGTGGTGTGCCTCATAAGAACAGGCGGCAATCAATAGATTTTATTACATGATGCTTGTGTTCTGCATGGGAAAATATCTGTCTTTAATACATACCATTATATGTGGTCAATTTTCATAGTCATCACATAACAGTATATAATAACCCTATTTATGAACATAGTATATTCACACAGGGCTATTTTGTTAAAGAAATGATTTATCTGTTGATCCTTTGCTACAAATTGGTGGATATAAAAATATTGTACGCCTTATTTTACAATACTCCTCAGAAGTACAAAGATTGTAACATAAAGACATGCTAATATGTTACTTAAGGGTATTTGTAACAAATCTACTGGCATTTTTGGTAATGTTCATTTTCAAGCAGAATACAACAATCTCTCAAAGGGAATAAAAGGCTGAAAATAGTATGAAATAATTTGAGCATCAGGTTTTTTCACGAACATCGTCCTGCTGGATGCTCTTTAAGATCTTTTCACATTTTTATCCTTGCCGACTCCTATAACATTTTTGTGAAAAGGAGGTTTTGCCATTTACAGTTTGTCTGCACAAGGATGACTGAATTGAGCTCCTTCTGAGAAATAGTTTGTCAGACAGATAAAAATCAGCACTGGAGACGTGTTCTTTATTTTAATAGGTTTAGTTTTGTATTGCAATGCAAAATGAAGTTGGTTCACCTTGAATGTCATTAACAAGTTGGTTTGTTTTCATTTTGTGCAAATAAATTGACTTTAAGCCAAAAGGAAGTAAATTGGTCAATATTGTAATATGCCCAGCCTTTAGTAAGTAACATTTCCATGGCTCTGTTATTGCAGGTGATGTGTGAAATAACACAAAATGATTAGTTATTGTTTACTTTGGGTTGCTAGAACAAACAAACATTAAAGGAACACTATAGGGTCAGGAACGCAAACTTGTATTCTTGACCCTATATTGTTAAAACCACCATCTAGCCCTATGTCCCCCCTTGCCTCCTTAAATATAGTAAAACCTCACTTGTATTCAGGTGCTGCCTCTGCCTCTGTCCTGTTTGCTGACATCATCAGAAGTGGTCGCAGTCAATCCCAATGCTTCCCAATAGGATTGGCTGAGACTGTCAAGTAGGCAGATCAGGGGCAGAGCTAGCACAAGTCAAACACAGCCCTGCTGAAACAATGCATCTCTATGAGGAAAGTTCAGTGTCTCCATGCAGAGGGTGGAGACACTGAAGGGTAGTGCAGCACTGCCCCTGGAAGCCCCTCTAGTAGCCATCTGAGGAGTCTCCAGTGGAGTAATCATTAGACTGTAATGTAAACAAATTGGCATGCTGGGACATCACAGCAGTATTTCCTCTGTTCCATGATCCCCATTTCCTCCCCCATAAATATAAATCAGAAAGCAAGACCTACCTGAGGTGGAGCATACCTTAATATGGCTGCTCCTTTTATTCTGTGGCATTTATGTGTGTGGGCATGCTGAAACGCAGCAGGCGTCATCTTGGCTTAGGCCCGCACACATGTGTTTCTTTTTAACCCCTGCAATTACATTCCGTGTATAAGACGACCCCAAATTTTAGACTTAAAAAAATTAGAAAAAACATAGTCTTATACATGGAAATATACCAGAATAGGGAGCCAGGGCCGGACTGGCCCCCCGGGATACCGGGAAATTTACGCGGCACCTGGGGGCTGCCACATAGGTGCCACCGGGTGGCTGGTCCGGTGGCACTCAGAGGGGGACGGCCGCGTTCCAGGCTGGAGCCGCCGGGCCGGGTGGCAGCTTCGCCGGTCCGGTGGCACTCCTATCACTGATGATGCCGATGGCTGAAGGAGGAGTATGTCTACCATGCTCCCTCGCGGTTCCTGTGCTGGGGATTGTGGGAACTGCGAGGGAGCATGGTAGACATGCTCCTCCTCCTTCAGCCATCAGCAACAGCAGTGCCGCTGGACCGGCGAGGCTGCCACCTGGCCCGGCGGCTCCAGCCTGGAACGCGGCCGGCCCCCCTGACTCCTCTAGGTAAGTGGGGGGGGGGAATAAAACAGAGAGGGGGAATAAAGAGATGCTGGCGGGAGAGACACAGGGAAAGGGGGGAGGAAGAGAGAAGGAGGGGGAGGAAAGAGAGATGGGGAGGAGGGAGAGACACGGGGAAAGGGGGGAGGAAGAGAGATGGGGAGGAGAGAGAGACACGGAAAGGGGGAGGAAGAGAGATGGGGAGGAGGGAGAGACACAGGGAAAGGGGGGAGGAAGAGAGATGGGGAGGAGGGAGAGACAAAGAGGAAGAAATAAGAGAGACACACAAGGGGAGGGGGAGAAAGAGGCAGAGGGGGAAGAGAGAGACAAAGAGGGAGAAATGAGAGACACACACAAGGGGAGGGGGAGAAAGAGGCAGAGGGGGAAGAGAGAGACTGGGAAGGAAAGGGGAGACATTGACACAGAGGAGCAGTGAGGGGGAAAGAGAAACATACAGAGTGACTGGGGGAGACAAAAAGGCACACAGAGGGGCTGGAGATAAAGAGACACACATAGGGGCAGTATATATCACTGGTGGATGGGGGGCAACAGGGAAATCCCCCCCCCCACAAGGCTTTCCCCTGCCGGCCCATCTTCCTCCCCGTTCCGCAGGCACCGTGCGGGCAGCTGGCAGGGGAGGAAGAGAGGACCCGGGGCAACGCTCCGGCTCTCACGAAGGTGAACTCTTGCACTGGAGCTATGGTCTAGAGTTAACTCTCACCACTTCCTGGTGGTCGCAGTAGTGAGAGTGAACTCTAGCCCCATACACACACTGCCCTCACACACACACCATACACATTCACACACTGCCCCCACACACACACCATACACATTCACACACTGCCCCCACACACCCACACACTCAACCTTTTACACACATTGCACCACTCACACATTGCACCACGTCTCCTATACCCTACTACAGCCCCATATCCCAGCAGACTCCAAGTAAGTTGTCAAACTGTTCTTAAACGGTTTGACTACTTACTCTGGGAGGGGGTCCCGACACTCCTGGCACAATAACCACTACACAGATGAGTAGTGGTTATTGTGCATGGGATATTTATTTAAATAATCTACAAGTGCCCCTCCCGGTATCAGGCTCTGGATCCGCCACTGGTATATGACATGTATATTAATGTGTGTATTAGTTATATATATTATGCCTATTATATTTACACATATTAATGTACATTTATATATGCATAATGCACAGAGAAATGTCATTAATATGTACCATATGTAATGAGCAGATATTGGCCCAGTCTTGTTGCTAGGTGCATACTCCAGCACAATAACATATTTAAAGTGAAGAGCACACCCACAGGACTTCAAAATAAACATTTTTTACAGTTGTGCCCTACATACATTCACCATTTCAGTCCCATTAACAAGCTTTCCTTAATATGTCAAGGTAGTTGGACTGAAACATTGATTACATGCAAAGGCACGTCTGCTTAAAATAAATCTGCACTTTTGTTCATTTTGAAGCCTATGAGTGCTCTTTTTACGTTGGAGTACTTTTTAATTTTACGTTATCTGTTCTAACTCTGCATCTGCACACTATGCTGGCGCGACGCATTATGGGGCTGGTAAATATTTTTTTTCCAGTGCTGCTTTTAATTCCCAGTTCCCATGTAGGGAGCTATTTGCTAAACACAACTCCCTCCATAAATTGGTACCCTTAAAGGGACACTATAGTCACCAGAACCACCACGGCTTAATGAATTGATTCTGATGTCTATAGTCTGTCCCTGCAGGCTCAGCAATGTAAACATTGCATTTCCTGAGAAAAGGCAGTGTTAACACCGCTGCTTAGGGCCACCACTAGTGACTGTCAATGTTTACATGATTATAGAAGGGTCCTGAATAAGGTACCCTCCCTCTCTAGAAATCCCCTGGCACAACTGAAACTCATAATTTAAGCAAAGTAGATTTCATTTGTGAATCTTACTGTATCTCATACTACTGTATATGGCCAGTTAAATTGTATTTGATAGCTGAGACAGTAACACAAAAGTTTATACATTAGCTCGAAAGCTTGTATCCCATCTGCCAGCCTGAAATTTTGTTTTGTTGTTTACAGTTGCATTATAGACTTTTTTGTTTTATATTGTGAGCCTTGTTTTCATGTGCAACAGATGAGGACTTCTAGGCATCACATTTTTTACAGTTTTATTTGTTTATTTTATAGCAGTTTGGGAATGCTTCCTTTACTTTCCTAACATTAACTAGCGGTGGACATACGCAGATATGAATGTGGGAAAACATATGGTGTCAGACACCATAAAACCTCTTTTGCACTAGCAGGCCATTAAGACAATGGGAAATAATTCACTCAAAGCATTAGAATCTCCTTTCTGAGATTGCAGTCCTGTTATTGACATGGAACTGCAACAAAAAACGTAATGGAGAAATGAGTTATCAGTTCGAAGCATTCATTTTTGTTATCAGAATGCTTTAAAACACACCACAGGTAATCCACAGACATTACTGCTAATCTTGCTTATACCATTATAATGAAGTGTGCCAAAACTATTATATGTCATTTAGGATGATGTCACTGAACTTCATTCCTAATTTCATTTGCAGTGGATGCCCTGACAACTTTCTCCAACCAGACAATAAACCACTCATCTCTAAGGATGCAAAACTTAAAAGGTACAAAGAGAAAAGCAGAGAGTAGATGCAGTAAATATATCAATGTAAATGTTTAATGTATTACCACAGAAAATGCCATGGGCTAATGGAGGGATGAGCTTTTATGATACATTCAGCATGCAGGTTATCATACTAAATATTGTGAACAGAATTTGCTAGAAATACTCTCATAGTATTTGGAAACTGACATTAACCCCTTAAGGACCAAACTTCTGGAATAAAAGGTAATCATGACATGTCACACATGTCATGTGTCCTTAAGGGGTTAAACATGTAATTTTATCATTTAAAACCACAAAAGCACAACATTCAAGAATATTACAAATATAATGGTAAAACATGTGTTTTCTCCCTTTCAAATAGCATACATACATATTAAATTGAGAGGTGGGATCAGTTTACACAATGTGGAAAAGACAATCATCAGCCAATGGTCGGCATGTTGACTGTTTGTAACAATATTCAGACAGAAATTGCATTTTTATAGCTCACTCAGTAGCAGTATGATTAGCACTAGATGGCTTTTCCAATGAGCATACATTATTGATTCATTGTGAGTAGTAATAACAGTCTGGTTTAAGAATAAAATGCTACATAGTTTGGTGTAACACACTACAATATAAAAGTATGCATGCACAGCACGATGTGTAAGTGTGATATATTGGTATGGAGTATGAATAGTACATAGGAGCAGTAGGTTTCATACTTTGAAGCTATATGTTTTGCATAGTGTGTTTGATATTCAGGAGCAATACGTATGGTGTACTGACACAATTAGTATGTAAGTATGGCACATAACACAAGTATATATCTTACAGAGTTTTGTTTACAGTGACTCTGTTTTGTAGGAGACATTCTGCTGATATTCAGTCCACACCAAAGAAACAAGAAAGGTGAGCATATACATGAAAATAAAGCAGTTGCAACTGGTGAGGTTTTAAGATTGTGGGGTGCCAGTCTCCCGCCTCTTTGCTCTGTAACCATCATCTTCTGGCCTCTGTGATCTGTCCACTTAAAATAATTTACTCAATCGGTAATAGTAGTACTCAATACACATAGCTGCATACAATACAGAGTTGTCTTTACAAAACTCAGAGCTAGGTATAAAGAGACTGAATTTGGACCGAAAATTATGTTTACAAATAGGCTAATAAAGATTTCTACCGTCCACAAATCATAAGGAATTCACTTATGACGTGGACCAATACAATTAATTTATACCTATATATACTTACCTCTCCCACGCCTTGTTGCCCTGTTGTGCTTCTATTAGCCCAAGAGTGCATTCTAATTTTGTCTATTTACTCGATTCTTCTAATCTCTGGTATCCTTTGACCTTTGCTTGTTATAACGTTGATACGTATTTCTCCTGTCCTTGACCTCGGTATTTTCTCGGACTCCTCTACAGTTAACCCGGCCACTGTAAGGAACGATATACGAATTGTCTATTTATTGTGTTATAGTCTGCACGTTTAGGTTCCACACTGAGCCTGACATGTACATAGGAATATGCATAGAATTTACATAAGCCAGGCTGGACTCTTACTACAAAGAGTCCCTGAGCACATCAATGAAGATTATGGGCACTGGGCAGCTGAGCTTACACTATGCAATATGCAATAGGACGTATTAACACTATTAATGACAGGTGTATATATATATATATATATATATATATATATATGATAATCCTCATTAACGGGTCCTCTATCAGAGGCTTTGAAGTCTGAGGCTTTTGCGCAGTATGTTAGCTAGAATGGCACTCTTCTGGATAGAGAACTTAGGAATCTGCTGAAGCCACTCTCCCAACCTGGAAGTTACTGCCCGAGTGCTTCTTTCACAACTGCGATTACTACTGCCTTCACTCCCCATATCCATTCTATCACGTCTTTTAGTCCTGGTATTTGTCAACCTTCTCATGTTCCTTCTTCTTGATACAATGGTGACTGGGTACTACAACATCCACTACCGCCTTTCGTTCTTTGTCTAGCATCACAACGTTAAGTGGGTTGGCCAGTACTTGCTGGTCTGAACAGGTTCCCACAGGATCTTATACCTGTCATTCTAAACTACCCTTTGTGGTATCTCGCACCTGGGATTATTCTGTGCAGATCCCAGCAGGGTTCACAATACCAGCAATTTGGTTGTGCCTCTCAGTGTATGGTGTCCCTTCTAGCATCTTGCACCTGGCAACTATGTGCTGAATTGTTGTTGCGGCTCCCGGCCCGCCACATGGCGCAGCCGTGCCTGACCGGCACGACCTCGCCGATATTGCGAGCTTACCTGCGAGCCCGCGAGCTGGGAACCGCTCCTCTGCGTCTCCTGGGCGTTGCGCAAATCATGACGTCAACGCACACACACGTTCTGGGGTCAGAGGTCACCCTCTGACCAATCAGAGCCCAGAGAGGGATATTTAAATCCCTAATTCACTCCAGTTCCTTGCTCTGTCGTGGTTTCCTGTTCCTGGTTCCCGAGAGTGCGTTTATCTTTGTGAATCTGACTTCCTGGTATCTGATCTTGGCTTTTCCCTGGTTTTTCCGAATTCTGGTTCCCCTGACTTGGCTTGTTTAAATGGTATCTGAGTATTTCTGGCTTCCTTGACCTCGGCTTTCCCTTTGACCATTCTCTATCTCTAGCGTATTAGTCCGGCCATTCTAAGGTCCGGTTTACGCTCTGTCCTTTTATTTCCTTTCCTTTTATATGTATATGTTTACATAGTTTCTGCATGTTGGACCACACTAGCAGCCGTGACAATTGTCTAGGAGGCCTATTTGAAGAGTCTGCACCTTGGAACCTGTCTGTTGTGGTAGACCTCTACTTCTACTTCTACTGATCTGGTGCTACAATTTTTGCAGTATGGCCAGGTACATTATCCAGATGAAAGAAGCCCCTACCATCAGGGAACACCATTGCCATGAAAGGGTGTATGTGGTTTTCAAAAACCTCTAAGTATGTTGCTGTAAGAATAACACATAAATAACACATAAATGCCAGGACCTAAGGTTTCCAGCAGAACATTGCCCAGAGCATACAACTGCTTCCATCAGACAACCTTCTTCCAGTAGTGCATTTTGCTGCAAACCTTTCCCTATTTTTCCTGCTTCCAACCAATCAAATTCAAGAACTGACGGTACACTTGCTGCCTAATATATCCCACCCCTTGACAGGTGCCATTGTACCGATATAATCAATGTTATTCATTTCACCTGTCAGTGGTATTAATGTTGTGACTGATCAGTGTATTTACAAATACTGAGGTTAAGTACATCCCGACGTTAAAGCGTGTTATGCTGTCATACAAATAGAGGGCTTTAGTGCCGTTAGGGATGTATACAATGCCCTAAAGGTTTGACCCTTTCTCCAGCCCAAATACTTACCCTCTGCTCTGATCGCGATCAGGGGTCATGCCTAACAACCCAGACAGTCCTCTGCACCCAATCCAGCCAAGCTGAGTAATGTGATTGATGTGATACCATGATCACATTACTCAGAATGGCTGGATTGGCTGCAGGGGAACTGCTTGGCTTGTCATTTAGGTCATACTGGACTTCTTAATTTGCAAACTTTATTTACCAATGTTCAGTAACTTTACAGTATCATCAATGTTTCATTCCTCATCTGGACTTTCATCAGAATCCTGTAAAGTTACTGAACATTTGTGAATAAAGTTTGCAGAATAAGAAGTCCAGTAAGTGCCCTTCTTCGAGTGTATGTATTGTTAAAAGGTTGGAGGAGCACCTTGGAAAGTAAAACTGAAGAGTGAGTGCAGGGTGGTGTTTTTTGTTTTATATATATATACAGTATATATATATAAAAAATTTCAGTCTAAGTGTATTTTAAAATTAAAAATTCAGTTGATGATCTTCGCTTTCCTAAATACCGCTATGGATGATCCTCCACTGAAATGGATGTACATATAATTTCTACACTTGTAGTTATCTCGTATCTCAGCCCTGCCTCACAATGTTTTCTAACACTCCTGAATCTTTAGGAGGTTATCACTCAGCTCTTCAGTCTCATCCTCTTCTTCCTCTAAGAGCAACAAAGAGGAGAGGTAAGGTTTTTTTTTTAGGGTTCAGTTATTAGTATGCAGGGGTAAATTAATTACAACCAAGTCTCTATCTTTCGTATTTTCAAGGAGGCAATCGCTTGGTTCCCCCACTGTGACAACTCCTAAAACACCCAGCAAACCAGTTACTGATGACAAAGATGACAGGTAATAGTATTGGCTGATATGGGATTGCATAATAATCAACGTGTGAGACAATTACCTCCGTCCTTAATGGGTTAACGGGGGAGAAAAATTAGAACATTTTACACTTACATTTGGCAGGATCCTGGAACTGCTATTGCTGTGCTCTCTCTCTGGTATTTCCAAGATGGCTTCATTCCCTGGTACATTTATGCCACCTGAAAAGAGAGGCTAATAGCATGTCTCTAGTCATGGGTAGCTACCAGCTGGCACTGCTACCTAAAAGACAATTCAATGGGAGGCCCCTGCATTACCTTCTTAACCCCTTAAGGATACATGACATGTGTGACATGTCATGATTCCCTTTTATTCCAGAAGTTTGGTCCTTAAGGGGTTAAAGGAGACTACACATTTTCAAAACACGCTGAAACAGGACAAATTTTAAATCTGTCCAATCTTCTGACATGCCCAGTTGCTCTCAAGAAAGCTTTTCCAGACAGCATCTGCAGTGAGGAACCCTGCAGAACTAAACCCTATGACAAAAAAACACAGATTGTTTTTTACACACAAATAGGTCATGACTGAAGTTCCCTAATCTACTTTTGTCCATATTTTTTAGTTTACTGCTTCCACCCAGAAAAAAATAAAATATCTTAGTGATCCTTAACTACTGCCAGTAATTTTTTTCAATGTAAAAACTAGTGGGGCGCTTTCCTAAATGTCTCTATGGATGATCCTCCACTGAAAGGTAGGTTCATTTAATTTGTACACTGCCTCACAATGTTTTTTCAAATACTTCTCAATCTATAGGAGGTTATTTTTCAGCTCTCCAGCCCCAGTCTCGTCTTCCTCTAAGACTTTCAGCAACAAAGAGGAGAGGTAAAGGCTCAGTTTTTTTGTTATTAGTATGCAAGGGTAAATTCTTACAACTAAGTCTCTGTCTTTGATCTTTTTAAGGAGGCAATCTCTTGGTTCCCCGACTGTGACAATTCCTAAAACACCCAGCAAACCAACTGACGACAAAGATGACAGGTAATAATTGAAAACAAGAGAAAATCTCAATGTATCTTTCCTGTTAAAATATTTTATAAATAAATAAATAGTACTTCCTGATATGGGTTTGCATAATCATCCACATGTTTGTCAGAGTAGTAATATGTTGCATGTAGATGATTGTTTTATTCTAAAACTAACCTCCTTACTAAACTGTTCTTTGTACATTCTCTGCCAATATTATTCTCTTTTTTAGGATACATTCTCTAAATTCTCCCAATCAAGCAGTCCATAAAGCAAATGTAAAACCAAGAACTGACACTAGAGAGGAAAGGTGAGAACACCAACTGTTATAATTAGAGAAAACCTCCCAGTTCATAGAGATGAACAAACCTCCATAAAACAGTCATAACTGGGCAGATTGCTAATGTTCACATAATAGCTTGCTCGCCACTTAATAACTGAGAAATATTTCGGAGGTTGGATAACTATTATTTATATACTTTTTTTCTCTCCCGAATCTACACAACTCTCTGCCTTGATAATCTCTTTGCAGGAAACAAACTCTAACTTATCCAACTCCTGGAGCTAGCAATCCATCCAGCAAACCAACAGCAGACCACAAAAAGGAAAGGTAAGAGTGATAAACTTCATCAAAATTAGAAGTGGAAAGTAACAACTGGTGAACCTTACTGAGGATAATAATATCTGAGTGAATACAGTAGGAAAGAAGAAACAAAAAATACATTGACAGTTATGGAATGAGAAGGCTAGAAGAAGAACTATTTAGTACACTATGCAGTTATATATAAAAAAATTTAAACTAATAAAATCTGTATTTAACCCCTTAAGGACCAAACTTCTGGAATAAAAGGGAATCATGACATGTCACACATGTCATGTGCCCTTAAGGGGTTAAACTTTTGAGTGTCAATAAGTTGATCTTATTTATCAAACACTCTAAACAATAGGAATAACTGCTCAGGAGACACGATTCAATGTTGCATTGTCAGCCCAATCCTAAAGCAATCACACAGTCAAAAGAGCGTGACTGTAAAGGGTATTGCTTCCATTCTGAATGGCAGCACACTGCTCTGCTTGTTAGATCCTACTATCTCATCCTGGAGAGTGTGATGAGCTGGCTGCCTGCAAACTAACAATAATTATATCATATAATTGAAAGCTCTTGCTTAATATATTTAGCCCTTGCTTCTTTTTACGGTGTCCTCAGGTATAGATTGTGTCTGTTTTTCACAATCTTTAATTATGGTATAGTTCCAGTTAAGACACTATTGAAACAGTGGTAATAACAGTCATCTCTCTACAGATATATTTCAAGGTATTGGTCTGGTTTAACGTGGTACATATATCAAAATCAAAAACTTCAGTAAAAATATCAGTGCCAAGGCAGCAGTCATGATGTATAGCCTCAGTTTCATGAGGGTACCCCTCCTGTTCAGCCCTCTATAGCAGGCAAACTCACCCTAGCTTTCTTTATGTCTATTCGTTACCTTCCTCTTCCCTCTCTAATAGGGCAATCTAAAATAAAAGTAAAGCGAGGAGAGAGGTAACCAGTTGCTTATTTCTGGATACTTTCTTTCTGCTATAAATTCGACCTCAATGATCCCCCCTTCCCCGAAAGAGACAAATTACTCCCTTCTCAACCCCCAGCCCAAGATTTAGGAGACTGCCACACTCCATTCATGATGTTATCAAAAAGGAATCTGCCTCTCCATCCCTAGCTGCATATGTTACAAGATCTCAAGTCACAAGACCACCAAAATCTGCAAATCAGTACCAACCTCAGAACCGCATCTCCAGTATGTCACAGATTTTGCCAGTGTTCTGTACCAGCAAGTGATTTATTTACAATTTAGTTCTTGTATTTTGGTGCTGAGTGTTCCTTGGTGGGCTAGGAGATGGATCTTCTCCCATTTGCGTTCAGTAAATTTATATACTTGCTTTGACTTCACTTTGATTTCATACTTTAGTAAATAACACAGAGTTTTTAAAATGAAAGACACATTAAATCCATATACATCTTGCCTTTTACTGTTCAGAGGCCTATCTATTAAAATACTTCCAACTAAATTAGTGAAGGGTTGAAATTGAAGGATACTGCTATTTAAGACAAATGGTCCAGTGACCTGATTTCTCTTGCAAATACTGAAACACTTTTGAGGTCATTGAAGCAACCGAATGTGGACAAATTGCAAACCTTAAACACTCTAAGCACAATAATAACTTTATCCTAATAAAGTGTTTTTTGTGTATAGATTATGCCCCTGAAGTCTCACTGATCAATTCTCTAACATTGGGAGTTAAATCACTTTCTTTAAACAGTCCTATATACACCGCCCCTATGTATGTGACTCACACAGTCTCACCTACACACTTCCTCTCTACACAGTTACTGAAAAAGTAGTCTATTTGTTAACTTCCATTATTGCACAGAGTGTTTAATTTAGAATTTGTTAACTTCTGATGTGCTAATAGCCCGCTAGAGCCTTTTGTGTGTGAGTATAGTCCAGAGTAGGAGATATATTTTTCCAGAAAGCTGTGTGAGTCACAGACATTGATGGTATGGCTAGGGCTACATATATGTGATTTAACTAATAAATGGCAGAGAATTTAGTATCGAAACTGCAGGGACATGATCTGTGCACCAGAACTGCTTAATCAGGCTAACGTTTTAGTACTTAAATTTTTCTTTTTACGTAATGGTTAGCTCACATCTAATCAAAGAAGATATATATGGTATGATATGCATGGTAACAGTGTAAAAGAAACAACATTTCATACAGTCTGCTTTGTTACTTTTTATTACCGTATCTGAGTCTCCTAAAACCTTTTTTTTTCTGTCATACTATCTCTGCAGGCGACACTCTGTTAGTTCTCCCACTAATACAGCACGCACTACCTCAAGCAAACCAGTCACAGACCACAAAGAGGAGAGGTAAGAGTGTTAGATCAGGATAAGAAGTGAAGACTAAAAACTGATTTTGCTTTGTTGGAGTAATAATTTGTTTTTAAATAATGGTTGGGAATAAATTGCAGAGAATAGAGCAAACAGCATAGAAAAGCAGTAAAGTAAAACTATAGTGCCTGGAGCATTATCTAGTATGAATATCCCAGATGAACAAGAAAATTTAAGTACCAGTAGTTTGATCTAACTTTTCATGCATTTTAAACTTTGTTAAAAGAAAGACTTAACAGGTAGCTTTTAAAGTGGTCTAAAAATGATCTTCACTCAATAGAGCTGCACACCACAATGATTCCTTGATGGAGTGACAGGGAGCAGGGCAGAGCAGATCTACTGATCTCCCTCCTAGCTCAAAAAGTACACAGCTGAAGGTCCAAAACCAGGCATGGGTCCACACAGGCCCTCCAGGGTGGAGGGGAGCATTCTTTGAATGGTACTCATTTGGGTGTCCTTTGAGAGCTGTAGCCACTGACACAATAAAAAAGGAGAAATAGCAATATCAGAGAGGGCAGCCATTTTCCAGTGAGAGCCAGAGGGGTGATATTGATAGAAATGAAGAGGATGTGTGTAGCTGTATATTTTAGTTTACAGCAGACAGAACTGGCAATCCAGAGTGCACACTGAACATCATATGACTTCCCCAGCAAAGAGAGTGTAAGGTGCTGGGAACTCCCACATCCTCTAGATTGCAAGCTCATTTTATAATAGGTTATTCCAAGCACCGTGACCATTAAAGTGTTCTGAAGTGGTAATGGTGCTTGGAGTCCCTTTTGAGCAGCGTTTCAATATAAAATGCTGTACATCAGGTTTGCTGTTGAGGTTGTATGCATTATTATTCATATTGGGAGTCTGTCATCTGCATGCAATGCATGCTGGTCCAGACGATCTTTGAAGGCACGCCTCACACTCCATGCTGCCTGAGTCCTCTACTCTGATCATCTCCTGGACGTACTTCTCCCAATTTGCCTATCCTACCACACTATTAAAGTAAATAGTCTGGTAGGTCTAACTAGTCATTGTATATGTATTATATGTTTTGTTAATGCCATTTAACATTGAACATATACATGAGTGCTTGTCCAACTGGGTACCTTTAGTCAATGCTGGAAATCTCATTATGAAAACTTATAAGTGTAGTTCTCAAAACCGGAACAGTTTGAAATATTGTTATACCTTTTACTCATTCTAGCATACATTTGCTGAATTTGTTGGTTAAATAGTACAAATATAGATTAAGCTTCACTTGAAAAAGTTTTACTTTACAACATTCCTCCAATCTCTAAAATATTTTCTTGGGGGGCAGGCCATATTTTGGTTATATGTTGGTTCGACTCAGCCAAACAAAAAACTGATTCGGGAAATTAAGAAGATGAACCAAAAGGTCACAAAAATGACAAAACAGTGTACTGCTAAGTATATAAATAATATTTATAACATTTTTCCACCATATGTTTCACAGATCAAATATAGGGAAATACAGGAAGAGCAGTAAAAAAAAATCTATATTTATCTATTTTTAATATTTTTTTAATATATAATGCAAATATAGATTTCACTATATTGGCAATTCCTAACTTGATCTGTGAATAAAATTGGTCCCCTAGCCATCAATCATCTTCTTTTTTTTTTTTTGCATCACTTGCTGAATACACATAGCGTGTATCAGTTGGTTCATGATGCAGCTACATTTCGGACGGATTTCAAGAATTCGATGTACTACAGTTCATACCATAACAAATCTCCAAATCTAGTGATCGCTTGCACTGTATCAGGCTTGCCACTGGTCTTAGTTTAACCTTCTCTCACCATTCCTGCAGGAGACACTCTCTTGGGTCCCCCAGTCATGGAGCTCGGAACGGATCTAGCAAAACAGTAAATTACACCAAAGAGGACAGGTAACAATGATCTGATTGGGATCAAAATTAGAAATGAACAATTTCTCTAGCTTATTTCTAGAAATATATGCTTCACAATGCATTAAATGTTTTGTGTTTATATATTGCTTTATGGATCACATAAATGATTATAGTACTTTAATATATCACTTATGAATTATTTAATTGCACATTCAACCCCCAGATGACTTGTTTTCCAAGTTTTCTATAGTGACTTCCAGGAAACAAGCTAAGTTGATTGTAGTACAGAGCCATTGCAGCCTCACCTCCCAATGTATCCATTTTGTTTATGCCCAGCTCACCATTACTATGTGGTGTCACCCCAATCCGATGTCCTTTTATTTCCTGTTTCTTTATCCTAGTATCCTCCCTTATTTTCCTATCATTTTTTAAAATTTTTATTTGTACATGATAATACAAGATGGATATTTTATATCCAATTGGCTTCTCTCGGGAATGTATGTAGATGACTCTCTGTATAAAAATGAAGCTTAAAAAGTGATTGTAATCTCTTTTCAGGATGTACAGCAAAGATAAAAAAAATAATCTTTAATTTCCATTCTCTGGTCCCGTAAATCATGCTCTTGTTTTCACTTTGTCTTACTTGCACCAGGAAGCACTCTGTTGGTTCCCCTACCTCTACAGTTCGCAATG